GCGGAGACCGCCTCAGACACCGCACTGTGAGGCGGCGGCTGGTGGCAGAAGAATTAGACGATTTGCCCTTATTGGCAGAATGTTTTCACTGTCCGCTTAATGTATTGTATCGTAACTGTCACATCGAGCCCCCCGGAGCTGCCAGAGGCTGGCTCTGGAGCCGCACGGCGCTGGGGGTCTCCTGGCAAAGCCGGGCAGTGGAGGGCTCTGATTTATCCGCGCCACCGCCACCGCGCGCCGGGGCCAACCAGCCACCCCCGCGCGGGCTCCTGCCCCGTCCGGCCAGGGAGCCGTCCCGAGCGGCGGCAGCCAGCGTCGTTTCACAGCGGGCAGAGAGCACTTTCTGCCGCAGCACTTCCCACAAGGTCTGCGGAAGCGCAGCCTCCCCGGCGGCCAGCAGGATGGCCTTCCCCACTGCTGCTCTTTACTGGAGACCACTGGAGGTTTTTAGTGGTTTGGGGTATTTTGTTGTTGTTGTTGTTGCTAGCGGTGATGATCTTGCTTGTTTTCTTTCTGGGTTTTTTTTGTTTTGTTTTTTTTGCCTTTCAAAACTCCTAATAAACTAGGAAATTCCCATGGAGGGACATGCAGAGTTTTACCGGAAAATGCTCAAGCTCAGAAATGTCAAGGTTAAGATTACAGTTAAGTTAAACTTGAATCTGCCCCATGCACTAGTAAAGCTCAGCCCATTCTTTAATTGCATAATACGTATAATATTTTACACCACAGTTGCATTAAACTCAGTAATAATCTGTGTACTCGCGTACGGTGAGTCATTTGTATAGAAATTACGCAGCGAATAATATTGCAATGAATTACTGCAAGTTAAATGTACCTAATAAGAGTAATAATGAAAATTTGCTAACAATCACCTGTGAGTGGAGACACTTTCGTAGTTTACAAGTTTCATCATTATGTTACACAAAGGGAAAGATCCTCTAACCAGAGAATAACTGCTGAGTAAATTACAAAACGTATTCCTTAGTGCAAGAAGGATTTTCTATTAATGACGTGCAGCTGTCAGTAGGCTACTCTTGTTTGCGTAGGGCTAAAATGTCCTTGAACCATTTCACCATGACAGTGAAGATACCAGCAGAATAGACGCTTAAGGTCATACAAGTTTTGCACCTAAGGAAGGTCTGATGCTGAGCACAGAGCAGAGGGCAGATTTTCAGCCAGACGTTCGTCTACCTAAGGCACCCTGCAAAATGCGCACAGCATACATCCTGGTCACTGGAAGTGACGGGTCATTTTGGCACGGCCATCAGAAGAGCTGGGATTTCACCCATGAGAGGCTCCTGCCCTTACGTTCGCTGGGGTGAGAATTTCAGCTGCGCCACCTCCGCGGAGGGCAGCGCCGAGCGCTTGGGAATGAGGAGAGGGAACACCACGTTCTCTGCCTCGACTTTCTTTTTTTTTTTTTTTTGTTCTTTTTCGTATAAAAGAAAGGAAGTGGGTTCTTCTTCTTCGTGCAAAACATGCTCCTGCCCTTTGAGCGGCAGGTGCTGCGCTGCAGTGGTGCGAGCCAGCTCCACCCGCTTGCACGGCCCGTGGCGCCAGGAGCCCGGCCAGGCCCGTGGGCAACGGCCCGGGGCAGCAACGCTGACACGGCGTGTGAAAGGCCGGCGCAGAGCGCTGCGAGTACGTTTGCAGCCAGCTCATGGCAGTTTCTCGTTTGCGAGCTATTACGCTTTTACTGAAGCAGCTAGCTGGACAGAGTCTGATGTGTAATTTGAAATGCAAGGCTTGAGTTCAAAGAAAAAAAGTGAAGCAGGAGCCAAGTTTTTTGCTGCATCCAAGTTTATCCAAAGCCGTTTTTTTCTTGCACCCAGCCAAGCAGCGAGCGCCCGCGTCCTGGTAGCCATCCCAAACCACTGCAACTGGGAGCCCCTCGAAGGGCCCCGTCCCTACCCCTGGTCACCCAGCTGGGGCGTCTGGGACACCCCCCCCAGCCATTATTTCTACCCAAACCCTCAGACTGGAAGATCCCTTTCTTGCACTGCATGTCCCCATTATTAACCGTCATAGTCCCTAGCCCTGCTGCCATCGCAGCTACCCAGTCCTCTTGCCTGAGGACCGCTGATGCAGTTTCCAAAGCCAGTTATATCACCTTTTCTTGCTCACTTTCGCTCTTGAGAGCCAACCTGGCATTTCCACTCCGGGGGCCCTTCCAGCTGGTCTTAGCTCCCCCTCCACCTCCGCACCCAAGTGCCAAATCCCCATGTCACTCCCTGACTACCCAAACCAAAATGCAAGGGGCCAGGGGAGGCCAGCGGGGGGTAAGGCTGATCCCTGACCGTCCCGCTTTCCCAGGCTGGCATCTTTGATTTTGGATTGGGATTTCACTCCACATTTCCATTCTGTCCTGGGCAGCCTTGATTGGGAAATCACCTTTCTTTCACGGCTAATTTTTGTCACTGTACTTTTAGGTAGTGAAATTGCCCCTCCCCACCTCCTTTTCCCTCTTTTTTGCAGTAGCGCTTTCTACCTTTCTCGACCTTTTTTGTTACCACTCCAAAAAAAGAAAAAAATCCCCAAAACAAAAACCTAGAAGAACCCAACACTCAAAAAGTCCTCTTTGCCCTTTCCTGCAAAGCCCTGGACGTTGCTGTCTGCCGTTTGCTGAAGGCTGCAGCTGATCGACTGACCTTTTTCAGGCTCTCTTTGCCAACCCTTGATTTCCAGAGGCGTTCCCACCGCTGTTTAGTTTTGGCCCGGCAAACGCCAGCCCAGAGCCCCCCCTGAGGTCGGCTCCTTCGGGCAGTCAAGGCATGGCTGGGCGTACAAACAGACCTTATCATCTATACAGCTAGGGGAGGCGTTTGGCTGGGCCCAGCACCCTGAAGTTGTTTAGGCTGTTGTTTAAACTTGATGGGGCTTCCCGGTGTTCAGAGATGACTTGGAGCTGGACTTTTTGAAGCCATGATAACAGAGCAGATGAGGTAACAGCCTCACATGAGAGACAGCAGGAAGTTTGTGCGTTTTCTTTCCATTGTATCATCGGGTCTCCTTGTTTCCTTTCCTCTTTGACCTTAATTACCATTTTTGTCTTCTAATGAAAAACATTTTCAGGAAGCATTGAGGTTAGAAACAGAAGCTCAAATCCAAGCACTCTCAGTTTTGATGCAAGAGGCAGGGATTTTCTGCCGTTCAGCTCCTGGATCTGAATGAACCTCTATTCAGCCGATGGTGGGACAAAACTAAAGTTAGGAGAACTTCTACTTTTAATACCTACCTGCCCATTCAATAACAGCAGCTGTGTGATGAGGACAATATTTGGAAGGCTCTGACTCAAGATGATGAAAAATACAGACAAAGCGGAACCTGTAGTGAGATTTCTGCCAGGTAATGGCAGCTATCTCCATACAATAACTACTGGAGGTTTGGTACACCTGAAACCTACTCTGGGCCTAAATCTAAGTGGGAAGCACTGAATAATTAAAAAGTGGAGACCTGCTTGGGCATGACATGACCTGATGTATTTTGCATGTACAGTACGAGCTCTGGAAACCATGCTGCAATGCTGCAATCACAGCAAAGCCAAAAGCACCAGCCATGCTGCAACGCAGCCGTATGACTTATTCTGTGTCCCAGGCGGTGGCGTTCGACATCTTGAAAGCTTTGGG